TTCCCTACTGCACATAGCCTTAAAACCACAGTCAATCAACTAGTGAAATCTGTAGTGGATTTTTCTGAATAAACTTCTTAGACTTTTGGAAAACTTCTCTAGAGATTGCTTAATTTTTTTCTTATACTGACACAGACAGTGTTCTTGATCTGCAGTTTTACTGAACCTTAGGCAAGGCAATTATTTTATAGGCTCAGGTTGCCAGCTTGTTTAAACCAATAGAATAGCAATGTTTAGACAGCCACATCTCAGATATGTCAAGATTTTAAAATGGAAGGATGCTTAGAAATCAAGGGCCTAGGATGTGAATTACCCATCACAGGACTGCCTTGCCTGCTCTGGAGCCATGTTTGTGCCCACTGTGTCAACCAGGAATAACTGACAGTGTGCAAGCAGTACCATGGTAAATTCAGATCTGATCACCATACAGTACCTCCCAGTGGCATCTTCATAGTATGTATCCTTGTCACCTCATCCTTGAGTTTCCCTTCACAGTAATATGCTCCAATAGTTTCACTGGCCTGTTCCCTCTTCCACACCACTGTTTTGGCTGCTGCTCTCTTCGAATCTTCATTAACTTCCAGTGGTTCCCGGTGCTGGTTTGCCACATCCTCCTGGTCTCTCTCTATTGTGATAGACTCACGGGAACGCCATTTGGAGGTGATACATGTAAGTGACGTCTCGGAATTCCCCACCAGAGGGAATGAATTGATCAGTATGAGGTCCAGTGCTGCTTCCACTTTACCTAAAGAGAAAAGCATCAAATATCAAAATTTTACTGCAGAGTTCAGGTATGTGGCTAATCAAATCACCAGGTAAGCTGTTTCACCCAGTACTCAAGATTTCTCTGGCTGATATCTTGCACAGCATTTGTGCAAAATAAGAAGAATGTAGATTAACTATTGTGATACAATGATTTTAGGATTTATTTTTTATATCACAGATAAATAGAGTTTGTTCTTCTCAGAAATGGCTGTAAGTCAAAACATGTAGGATTTCTTTTAAGAGTGGTTGCAGAAGTCCAAGGAAAACCATGGATTGCAGAAGCAGATAGATCTGTGTATAGCTTGATGTGCACATAAACGACTCAAGTATGGTGCTTTGCTGGTAGCAGGGTCAGTAGATGGTAGGTTGACTGTTTAATTGTGTTTCTTTTTTCTCCTTTACATGGAATTAATATGTATGTATTGATGTAAAGCAGTTATGTCTTTCAGTTATAGGAGCTGGTAGTAATTTGGACACTTGGAGTATTTTTTTTCAGCTGTTCTATAAATTTGGAACAATGATTTCATAGTTAATCATGTTAAGCATTTGAAGCCCTAACAGACAGTGGTAAGAGCCATGACACAAAGAAACTTCCTCAAAAACAAAGAGCAAGTAGGTAATACTAGTAAAGTGAAGTTAGGTTTAAATCACTCAAATTTTCTGCCTTTGATCAAAGAACTACCAGAAACACGCGGAGATGGAAGTTCTTTGAAAATGATACATGCCTAATGAAAACAGCCTCTAGCAGAGCGTCGCAGTTTTAGTTGTTCAGATGAGCACAGCTGGAGGGAAATAAAACTCTCCTGCTATGAACAATCAGCAATTAGCAGGCGTTTCCATCTATTTTTGAAATTCAGGCTAAGGAGAAGCGAAACAGTAACATTTTTTCCAGCTGAAACAGGAAGAATAAATGATTTCTTTTATACATCACATTATTTTTCTGCTTTGGATACAAGTATATTTTATATTTACACAGAGAGACCTAGTATTTAGTGCCACTCAGCTTCCACATGTTTCTCTGATGGGAAGGAAGGGGTATAGTTCCAGATAAGGGAGGTCAAAAGGTCTGAGGGCTGACTGCAGTCTTTGCGTGTGTGCCTGCAGTGCTCCGGGCCAAGGGAGGAGGTACTCCTCTGCTTTCAATTCAAGCAACCACTCTGGGGACTGAAGTATCTTGACAGCACACTGACACTCACCACACCCAACCAGTCTTCCACAGCCACCACCCTTTCATGTGCCAGCCCAGATAACTTGTAGTTACATAATGGAGAAATGAAACATTTTGGAAAGGATGTAATGGTCATTTAAGCAAATATTGCATAAAGGTGCAGGTCAGCAAAGTCAGTTCATCCTGCTTCACATTGCAAACATAAATCCTTTGAACAAACTTAAAGAGCTGTGTAACAGAAATGAGGACAGACTCATGCATTCATTTAATAGGGCACTTTTCTCAAGGTTCTTAGTTTTATATAAGCAACCTTTGCATTCTTACTATGGGTCTGATGCATCAGCTGAAGGCAGATATAGTTCAACAATTACTGGCACTGAAAGCAGAGGGTTTCAGTTTATATCAGCAAGGATCACATGCCAAGTAGAGATATTCTTAAAATCATAAACTGCAAGATCTTGATTTCTGCAACTATGTATGAAACTCAGAATCCAATCTGGATCAAAATTCTGTGACTTGACATGATGATCTGTTTTGAGATAAGGCAGAATGTTGCACATCAGAACTGAAATATTTTAACATTTCTGCCTGGCATCGCAGGGCACAGAGCTGCAATTTCCAATGCGGAGTTATGGGCCCAAGGGGCTAGGGACCTTCAGATGATGTCTGCTCATCCAGAGCTCCAATTCCTTTTTCCTAGCATTTCTCTGTTCCTCTGACTTGCAGCACAGACTGAAAGGTGAATACAACACCTCATCCCTCCCCTGCATCTCAGTCTTTTAATATGCTGAGATAAAGTGATAGGAGACATCTGAATTTTGAGGACTAGCTTTCATGTTGACTTTGATCCCTGTGCAAGACATAGGACAGCAATATCCTATCAGATTCAGGGCATTTGCTGCATACTTCTTTCCTTGTAGCAATACCAATCATGCAATAAAGGTACAGAACAACCATAGGTTAGGCATATCGTTTATTTAAACTTGTGAACATTTCAGATGAATCAAAGTCTAACCACTGGTGAATGGATGGTATTCTGATCCATCATAGGTGGAGACTTTTGGTAATATTAAACACTGTGGAGTAACCCAGACACCAGCGTGAGGCAGATAGAACAAAGATGGAGTATTGTGTCTTACACTGGAAGGCTTTTCTGCCTCTAAAAGGGATTTATATCTGTGCATAAGTATGTAATCATATCCCAAGCATGATTTGGCAGTTAAGGTTTCACAGCTGGAACATATTGCAAGCAGAAATTAATATACATAAAAGTGAAAATTTACGCTAATAAAAGCTATACTTTAGGTGTCATTTGGGGGGAGAGAGAAAAAAAAAGAAAAGCAGCCCAAGGCCTTGGAGGTGCTAGGAAGGCTTTCTTCCGCTTAGGGATTTCTACAGCATCTCTTTATGGTAATGCAACGTGCACTAATCCAACTGTCCTTACTTAAAAGGAGTTTACCTAGTCTGGCAGAATTAGGCAAATACTGTTCTTGATGTTAATGAAGACTTTGAGTATGCTAGGTCCAAATAAAGATAACAGGACTTAGATCTCTGAAAACAGCACAAAAAATACAGACAGGAAACAGCCTGTCTTTGCCGCAGGGACAATCCTCCATGCTGCCTTGAAAAAGTCCTTTGACTCCTGCCCTGGTCCTTGAAGAACTGACCTTATCAGGAAGGCAATTCGCTGTGTGTGCAAATAGATTTTTGAGAAGACAAGCACTTGTAGAAGGTTAATGCTGGAAATGGGAGATATCATGCAAGGGGGACTCATTGCCCAGGGTTTATGACATACACTCATAGTGGTGCAGTACTTTCAGCCTTTCCAGCACAGAGAAAATGGCACCCTCTGAAACACTAAGTTTGAATAACAGTACACCCACTGCAGCTCAGACAGCAGAATGAATGCAGGTAGATATTTGCAGCTCCTCTTGGCCCACTCTTACTTACAGGACTGTCCTCTTGCTTGCTGTGTGATGCTCAGCTGTATCTTCCTTCTAGTAAGAAGCTTCTCTAGTACAGATTTCTGTGCTCACAGCCCAGAAAGCCAGTTCTATCCTGGGTTGCATCAAAAGTAGCATGGCCAGCAGGTCAAGGGATGTAATTCTTCTCCTCTGCTCCACTCTTTGAGACCCTGCCTGGAGTACTGCATCCAACTCTGGGGTACTCAGCACAGGAAGAACATGGCCTTGTAGAAGTGGGTCCAGAGAAGGCCACTATGATGATGAAGGGCTGGAGCACCTCTTCTGTGAGGAAAGTCTGAGAGAGCTGGGATCATTCAGCTTGGAGAAGACTCCAGGAAGACCCTATAGAACCCTTCCAGTACCAAAACGGGGCTACAGGAGAGCTTGGGAGGGACTCTTGTCAAGTCCATGTAATGATAGGATTAGGGGTAATGGCTTGAAACAATAGGAGGGTCAATTTAGATCAGATGTAAGGAAAAAAAATGTTACAATGAGGGTGGTAAAACACTGGAACAGGTTTTCCAGAGAAGCTGTGGATGCTCCACTGCTGGAAGTGTTCAAGGCCAGGCTGGATGGAGCTTTAAGCAGCTTGGTCGAGTGGAAGGTGTCCCTGCCCACGGGATTGGAACTAGATGCCCTTTAAAAGATCCCTTCCAACTCAAAATATTATATGAAAACTGTGCTGAACAGAGAATAAGTGTGTGTCACATTGTGTCTGTAGTTCCTGCGTGTTCTCTCCCTACCAAAACGACGTTCTTACAGGCACAGAGTCATCATGTTTTCTGTGCTACATTGCACCAGCAAAACTCAGCCAGGACCAGCTGGAAGAAACAGTTCTCAGAAATTCCCTGGAACACACTCCAGACAGTTCTAACCAAAGAGCAAGAAAGTCTCTGATAAAGATTAAACTGTCACTTCCCTAGATCAGAACTGCTGCTGGACACTACAGTTTGTGAGTAAATGTGGCAATCTTGAACTGAGATGGTTTATTGCCATAGATGAGTACAGAGAGCAACTCCCATGAGGAAAGTGTTATGATTTGTCCTCTCAGAGTCCCTGACCATGTACTTCCAGATTTGAGCTGTTAACCCTTGTCTAGTCCCTAAGAAAACATGGGAATATTCTGGGCAATTTCTACCTAATGTGAGGGCTTTGCAAAGTGGCCTGTTAATTGGAAATATATTCAACACTGTAAAATCACTAACACTACTCTACCATAACAAGCAGCCAGAGTGGTCAGCTCCATTACAGGATAACCATATCTCACTGTCCTACAAAACACATAGTATGGCCATGGGGCATATCTGCAAGGTGTGTTGAGAATGAAAATTTCAGAGTAAAATTTCAGGTGTTATTTAATACAAGTAAAGAAATTGTTTAGACGTTACACATCTAATGATGTATTTATTCTCCTTCTATTTGTAGATCTTTATTTTCTATTTCTTGAAGTGACTATAAGCTGGAAGTTCCTCCATTTGGAGTGCAACAAAGGAAAAAGAAGACCCATTGTAAGAGGTAAGAGGAGAGATTAATACTTTTAAAGTACTAATTATTTAAGAGAAAAGGAGAGGGCAGAAAATTCCAGTAAATTCTGCCCCTTTTTTCATCAGGTGAAGCAAAGAGAATAAAAGCGATATAATTTATAATGCTAAACTAGATTTTTTTCCATTTACTGTTATTGCTTGGAACACAAATTATTTCTTCTATTAAGCATCTATGAATATGAATGTAAACCATATAGATACCATACTAGTGTGGAAAAACCAGAATATGTGTTATGCTGAAAGTGAAACAGTCAGTTGCATATGACACTCGCTCTAGGATTTAAAACTCATTTGGAGACTGGTG